AAATAAAGCTTGCAGTTGATGCAAAATAGCAAATTGCTTTTATTTAATTAATGATAAGCAGACTACATCATATATTGTAGCTAGATTTCTAGACATCTGAATAAATATTAAACGTGTGATACCATGGAAAAAAATTTTCAACACCGGTATCATCAAAGATTAAAACTGTGAAGACAGTTTCTTATTCTGGAATCAACACAAGGATTTCATTATGCTGCAGCTGGTGCTCAAGAATGAAAGTTCTCCAATTTCATTGAAGGCGGTCATGCTTGACACCAATCTGAGTGGTTCTATATCCAGTTTTGATAAGCAACATGGGAGTTCTTTCGCGATTTATGAAATGATCAACAAAGTGTGGAATATGCTAGTAGTAATAGATTAAAATTAGAATGTATGTAGAAAGAGAAGGAGGTTTCTTGGAAAGAGATTAAAAGAATGAAGGTTAGGACAGAATAGTTTACCAAGCTGTTTGGAGTTGCTGAATGGAAATTTTGGTAAAAGCACACAGAATCGGATAAATTCTGATAGAGATCCAGCTGCATTGAGGAAGCTACATGTTGTTGCCTAGAGCCTGAATAGTTATTAGCAATAATAATGAAGTTTGTACTGAATTAGAAGTAATATATTGCATATATTAGAATATATGATAGGTAGAACGGTGCTGGAACCTTGCAAAGTAGAATAGCTTGACTGCAAAAGATTTAGCAGGGGAGCTGTCCAACGCATGTAAACCTGTGTCTGTAGTTCAGAAAAATGAATAACGTCAAATATTAGACTTCCAGCATGGCGAAGTAATAGAGTGTCATATTTTTTAATGCTGTTGTGTTTGCAGAAATCATCCCAGCCATCTCCAAACGAATGGTCAGTGACCATTATAGGCCATTGTTGCAGTCCAATTCTGAGAATGATTGTGCTGGACCGGTGTTGAGTAAGTAATAATTCAAATTGAGAAGGAAATATCTGGAGAACATGAAGAATATAAATAATGTTGATAAAGTCTTTGTCATAAACATTTAAATTAGATAATTTAGATGTGCATAAAGAAAGGCCGAACCTATCCTCTATGGATGCACTTGAGAAGAAAACAACAAGCTGTTAAATTGTTATATGTGAGATGAAGGTATGGTGCTGTTGTGCAGCTTGTTTCTGACATTGAACTAATAGAAGAAAGGTTCAAGAAGCGGAGAAAAAAAAGGCATCAATTCAAGGAAGCATGCGAGTGCAAGGCAGCTTCATCTTATGAAGATTTAAAAGCACAGACTTGCTTTTGCTGGTGCTCTTAATGTCGAGTGCAGACCTGTTTTGTACCATAAGCGAAGAAATTTATTGGTTGCAGTAGAGGATGGTAAAGAACAGTTAATAGAAAAGACCATTCAATGTTATTTATTAGGTGCGAGGTGTCATTTGACCACAATATAAAGTTAACATCCACCCTGTACTGGCAATGTTTAATTGGCTGAAGGGAACTCATAAATAGCCATGCGTTTGTCATGCCTGTCATATATGCAGCCAAGGAATCAGTCCACAAAGGAGCAACAAGAGCTGAATGTATAATGTTTATGTACCAAAGAAGTTGGTAGGTGCAATAACTAAAGAAGTGTACATACATAACTAGAGGCTTAAAGAATCAATGGCAATGTTTGAATAAAAAAAGATGAAAAGAAATAGAAAAGCACTCCAACTTATATAAATTTTAAAGTTGACATGATGCACAAATTAAGTTTCTTGCCAGGAATCCAAAGATTTCTGCGAAAATCTCCACGATATCCAGGATTGAAGATTGCAATTCATCTTTGGAGGGCTGGTAGGAACACTGATACAAAAGTAATCATCAATGCTAAATGATGATGCAAAAGCTGATTAACAGATGACCATGCACAGAAGCCAAAAGGTTTACAGTTATAGCAGTAGCATATTCAAAAGTAACAAACAATCTGCTGGTTTGCATATAGAAGTGCAGATGAAAAGAGTAAAAAATATCCAAATTCCAGCGGTCCAAGAGGGGATAAAGCTGATTCATCCCAATTTTGTCCTCTTGTTGGAATTCTTAGCAGCAGTTTGAAAGTCATCACCAGCAGCAGTTTCTGCTTCATCAAACTTATCAGTGAGTCGGAGGAGAGCTTTTGAACTAGAGCTGCTTTCTCCTACAAGAATAAAGGTTGGCTGAATACGCTAGTAAGATATGAAGTTATTTGATAAAATTTTAGCTATGTCGACCAACCTGGAGTCAGCAGCTGAGCAGTCTCATTTCTGTGCTCAGCTGAGATAGGCAAAGCATTTGGTTGTTCTATTAGTTGAGCAGAATCAATCTCTTGTTTAAGTTCAGAATAATGCAAAATCGTATAACGCTGCCTGGCATCTGCTAATTGAGTCTGGACTGGTTTAATATGAAGCAGAAATGTCTTTGTTTTCAGGCTATTGTGAACAAACTCAAGCGGAAGTTCGTGATTCTACAGGTAACACAATAAAGGAATGAGAATTGGGAATAGAATGCTGCTTTCATTAACAATGATAGGAAGCTAAAATAACCTGGTTAAAATGATCCATTGCTTCTAGGGCGGTGAATATGAGAAGCTTCTCTGCCAGGTCTCCAAAGACGGAGGCTGGTATAACTCCACTGCCATCACTTAAATCAACGTCGAACTGGCATCTGAAAAGTAAACATATAGTATATTAGGTAATAGATTGAAGCATGGAAAAATCATGTACAATTTACAAGTAACTTTAATGCCGATGATTTAATAATATAGCATCTGGGCACAGCAGGGCTCTTCTCTTTGCATGAATTGCAGATAAACACAACGCCGTAGTCTGCTATAGTAGCACGGTTGCATTTTCCACAGCTCATGCACCAATATTTCTGGAAAATGTTTTCAAAAGAGATGTTTGCCTTGACCAATGCAGTCCAAAAGGTAACCAGATATAAGACCAGAAGTCAAATATGCACGAGTTATTTTAAGAAAAGTAGATAAATAGCAAAAGAGTCTTAGCACCTTCTGCGATAGAGAAACGTTACAAATTAAAGTAGTCTTTTGGTCCGCTTTCAGAAAGAGTTCAGGATTGTATTTAATGTAAGCCTTTGTTTCAATCAGGTTCGCAATTAATTTAGTATTTCTCATTGCCCTACACAAAGAACGATGAAATGAGAGAATAAGGAAAAAGAAATTAGAACAGCTTATATTGTATGTTTGTGAAATAAGCAAAGGAAAAGTCATTGAACCAATTCTTCAACTCTCTTGCTTCCTGTATGGGAGGGTCAACAAGGAGCGCAGAATCAAACCAGCTAGAGAGTGAAACTCCTACAAGATAAACAGCAGTGAAAGATTTCAGGCACCATTTGCAAGCATTAAAATAAATAAATAAACACTATTATACAGAAGGGCAGTATTTCAACGAACCATTATAGTTGTTAACTTTTAATCTCCGTCCGATAACAACAGGATAGGTCTGAATGTCATTCAATAAAATCTGTCCTTCATTGTTTAAGAAGTCATCCCACAAAGATAGCATCACTGTTTGAGACCTAGTATTGACATTGATATACAAGTCAGCATTTAAAGAAACAAAGAGCATGACAAAAATAACAAGATAGAGCTAGCAAAAAGCAGCGATAGGATTATAAAAAGACGACGCCTACTCTTCATTAAGGAGGACAAATATTTGAACACTTGACTATTTGGAGCTCCTAGTTATCATTTTCTTCTCTAACGAACAGATCACAACTCCCAGAACGTCTATGAAACAGTAAAGGTAGCTCGGAAAAGTAATAATCAGTTTGATTAGGCCAAACTTGTACTTCAAAGGTAGATAAAACTTACCCACAGACTTGCTTTTGTCATCCATGTATTGAGCTAAATCTGCAAACTCTGTGAAGGTAAATTTAACAGGCATGATGTCTTCTTCCCTACTAACTTCTTCAATAATAGTCCTAGCAGTGATCACCCATTGCATAGTCAAGTCAGACGTCTGAAATTTTGGTGGAATATTTCTGACATCAGCATTTGAGATCCTGTACTTTCTGTAAACTTGAAGAATAGGACTCATCTTAGGAATGTCAGCATTGAAAATGATGCCTTCTACTCTAGAACCCTGTTAAGAAGATCAATTGAAATAGTCTATTAAAACGAGTGTAAGATTGAAGAAGTGCTATGCTTGGAAAAGGTGTTCTAAAACATAACCTCCGAGTCATAGAAGATCAATTTTTTTTCTTGGTTGGTGTTCCCATTGAATTAGTAACTTGTTGCTTTTCTTGAACAATTACAAGACAACACCAATTTTTCATATCAGGAACGATATTTCTGATTGATAACACGTTAGCCATCCTGCAAAAAAAAGAAGGCAAAAGATTTATAATCTGGAAAGTTGTCTATGGATGAAATCACATTAACAAGTAAACTAAGAGATGGAGTTATCCAGATATACCTGAATGCAAGAGAGATATACAGTTAACTGAACTAAAAAACTTCATTGAATACAACATTTCTAGTTTTGCAGTCTATTTTTGTACCATCAAAGGTCCCTGGAACAATGAGAATTTTAAGTGCAGATGAAGTTTTGACCCTGGACAGAGCTACATAGAGCTGTCCATGAGAAAAAACAGGTTCACCTAAATGAATACCAACATAGTCGAGAGTTTGTCCTTGGGACTTGTTGATGGTCAATGCAAAGCAAAGGCGGACTGGAAATTGTGTTCTTATGAATGCAACGCCATTCCTTTCATTATCAAGAGTCTGTAGAGGCATCTTTGGAATTAGGATTATCTTGCCTTGATGCTGGCCGAAAAGAATCTCAGCAGAAATAGTATGATGGCCAAGCTCTCTACATATGAGTCTAGTACCATTACAGAGGCCTTCTAGAGGGTTAAGATTCCTCATCAATATAATTGGATAGTTTTCCTTTAGCATTAACTTGTGAGGAGGAAGTCCTTTTGGATTTTGAGAGTTAAGAAAATCCTCATAATCACCTTGGTGCCGCTGATCAACAGTTTTGTCCGTGCTAGTTTAAGTATAAAGCTTTCCAGGAAATCTCCTAATTAGGATATCATTTAGCTCATCAACTGAACTATTTTTAGGAGTAAGAATACACCTACAGATCATACTATAAGGATCCCGAGTATAGAGAGTTAAATCTGGGAAAACACAACTTATTAACCTGTTAATAGAGGAACTAAGTTAGAAATTATATAGGTATAAGGCAGACATATAAGGAAGCATAAAAGCGAATTATCTAACCTGTTTAGGGACTCTTCTTTATCATAATAAGGAATGACTAAATCTGTGGAGAGAGTTATTGTGAGGACCCAAAAATTGTGTTTATCTTATTTATTCTACTGGCTAAAATAAGTATTCACTCACCCGATTTCTCCGATTATTAATTTCTAATTTTTTTAGGCCTAACTAAATGTAACCATAGCTTCGTTATATTTTTAAAGCGATTCGTTGCGAAATTTAATTTCTTAAAGCTCGTTAAGTGAAAATAGTAAATACGCGACTGGAGCAAATAATCGATTCGAAAAATTACATATAACGAATAAGTGGTTAAATTAAAAGCCTAATTGAATTTTTATAAAAATCAAGAATTTAGAAATATCCTGATTTACCTAAGAATAACCGCAAGAATTTCGAGTGAGAGCTTGAAAATTTTATTCCTTACCTAAAATTTGATACATGATCCACTTTCTTTTATTTATTAAAATACATGTCTAATTATTTCTGTTCGTTAACAAATAAACTAGTAATACCTTTGGAATTTGTATCACCTACCCCATTAAATATTAGTACTAGTTAGAATTTACTGTTATAAAAATAAATAATAAAATAAACATGGAAAAACACTCGTTTGGAAGCATGTAGATGCCTAACATGTACAAAGATTAAATGTTGATTTTCCATGTTAGTTAGAAACCAATAGAAAACTATCTTTACCTTCTTAAACAATTTTTTTTAATGCGATAAATAATATTATAGAGCAACAATATTAAACCACTTGGTTTTCTGTTAAGATAAAAGTATTTCTAAGGTAGATTATTTCATTGACCTAACAATTAATTCGTTAAATGCCGACAGTTAGTTTTAATCGTTAAAAATGTCAAAATGTTAATAGGAATTTCCGCGTTAAGATGAAAACCAATGAGTTTTAGATAAACATGATACTAATATACTAAACATACTTAAGGCGTGAAAATTACAGTCTTGTAAGATTAGTGTATGATTAGGCGTTCAAATCACAATTGGGGATAATTTTTAGAATTAAGTTAGAACCAAGGACTTATGTGGAGGTCAAGAGGACAAGTGAAATGACTAAACTACCCTCCACTATCTCACAAATTATCATGCAGCCAAAACCATTTGCGGACAACATCATAGCCAACCTCCTCATTCGGCCAATGCAAATCTTCTCCAATCCAACACGCAAGCCTTTCAAACACTCAACCTCTTATCTGCCATTCATCTCCATTTCCTCTCCATTTTTACCTCAGCCCCAAACCACAACAACATTTCCTCACCTTGTAATCATCGACCGAGGGGAAGGAGAGAGCGGCATTCTGCATATGAGAGCAAGGAAAGAAAACTGCGAGCTGCCACATTTTCTGTTCTGTCTGCGAGCTTGAGGGAAGAAAGAAAGAGACACCGCGTGAGTTCAATCCTTTTCTGCACCTTCACCTCCACCAGCTGTGACCATTTTCTTCACCTCAACCAGCTGCACCCGTTTCCAACAACTCCACCGCAACTGCAACATCCAACCAGGACCACCACCTCCAGTTCGCGTGTGAGCAAGAGAGGGAGAGCTAGTGAGCTGCGGTTCTGCAACAACCAAACCCCAAGAGCGATAGCAAGCCGAGAGGAAAATTTCTGCAGCTCATTGTCGCGTGAGCTAAGCCTCAAACCGAGGTAACCTCTGGCCCTAGACTAGCTAATATTAGGTAGATGATGCTGATTACAAGCTTGCCTGTAACGGTTAGCCACTTGGATGATGGGTTAAGGCACCAGAAATTCTGATTATGAAAAGAAAATGGAATTGCCGTGAGCTTGAATCAGAAATGCAGACTTGATCATTGCTTAATTGAAGTAATCTGAGCTTATAGCTGTGATTAATTAGCTAATTACAAGATGTTTAAGAGATTGCATGTGATGATTAAGCACTCGGATGATGCAATCAAAGCATGAGAAAATCTGATTAGGAAGGAATTGGAATTGTCGTGAGACTGTTTTGGGAAATGCAGCTTCAATTCTGTCTCTTTGTAGTAGTCTGAGCTGATAAATGCGTTTATCTAACTAAGAACAAGATGATTAAGCTTTGCATGCAGCTCCTTGGCTCGGTTAAGCAAGAAAAAATAAAAATGAAATGGATCAGCTTACATGCAAGCTTAGCCGAGGAAAAACTGAATAAATTTCTGGAATTTTGGATGATTCTTGTTGCTGACCGAATCGGATTTTTGAACTAGAAATGTTAATCGACTAGTTAAGTAATTGCATGCCGAAATTGAGTACTTAATATCATGTTTTAGCCAAGTAAAAAGTTGGATTTATGACCAATTAACTGCTGGAATTCTGTTTAGCCGATGACAGATTTATTGTGGTGGAATTATTTGCCAAAATTACATGTTATTTGTTTTATTTCATGTCGGAAAATTTTGATGGTGGGCTCTATGAACTCCCACCCTTGGATTAATGATTGATGATGGATATAATGCTAGTTTAGTGCTTAAATGGGTAGATTAATGATACCTAGCTAGTCTCGACTTCAAGGGATGTGTAGTTCAAAAATGTTCAGGGTTGCCCTGTTTCAATCGCACCCCTTTTTGCAGAATTTTAAGGGTTTCATGACTTATATATCATGTTTATATGTTGAATATATGGTGTATAAAGTTTCATTTAAAAATATTGAGGTTTGGTTGGTCAATGGGATCAATTTCGTGAAGCTAGTAAATCTGGAAAACTGTTTTCGTAATGCTCTGACCCGCTTTCGTATTTCGGCCATAACTCTGTGCTCCGATATCGAAATCGAGTGCCGTCAGCGGTATTTGAAACTAGATATCCCAACCTTTCCAACGGTATAAAATGTATGTTCTGTTTCCATGTGTGTGAGCCGAACCAACCATTTAAAGATGACTACTCTGTTTCTCTGTTTTACAAAGAACGAAATGCTGAGGCTGCAACTTGTGGCTCGAATTCGAGCTAGTTGTGTGCCGAATTTCAAAATGATGTTTTCTGTGAAATCAAAGCTCTATGAATGTGTTTGCCAACGCCTTAAACCATGTCCAATTCCGAGTTAATTTGAGTGATCTGTGATCAAAATATGAAACCTGCTTTGTTTGTGAAAACCCTGATTTTTGGGACAGATTTGATGCAAGGCTCAGTGTAGACTTGTAAATTTAATCTCTTGGTGTTAACCACCACAAATGTTGTTCTAGGATAACCCTTAAACCTTTTCTATGTAAATGAACCATGTTTAGAGGATTTTCCTTGGTCAAAAGTTTAGAAAAGGAAATTTTTATACACAAGGCAGCTTTGCCTTAAAATTTTGGAAACATGGGTGATTTTGTTAAGTGACTTTCCATGCATATTTTTCTATGAAATTTGGTAGAGGGACAACCCTTATATAGTAGTATTATACTGCTAATTATGGTGTTATTCTGAGACCCTTTCATGAGTCAAATAAATTACCAAAGTTCATGACTCGAGTTTGAAAAACCCTTGCTTAACAAGAAAATTTTAGGAACTTTGAGCTACCGTATTTTGGTGCTCAAAACTCCGTTTCACGTTCTGTTTGTTTTGTTATACTCTTGGATTACAACACTAATAGAGTTGCAAATTTCAAAAGCTAGTTCCAAACAAGTGAATTTTTCCGAATTTTCAAAGTTGACAAAAAAAATCAACTTAAATCTGCCTTATGAACTTGATTCCATGAAGGAAATTATTTTTTTCCTTGTGTTAATAAAACCTCACTTTTGAACCTTTACTTTGAGTGGCTAAGGTTCTTGATTTGAGGTATTGACAAGTCTAGATGAGTGTAACTCCTTTCTTGATTAATGCGTGATTATAAGTGAAAAATACTTGTCAAATTGCTTCAGGTGCCAAGCTAGTCTTGAAGAGAATCTCGGAGGGGACAATTAAAGATTTTCTCGCTCAATTACTTTGGAAATTTGTGAGTGTCCCTGCTTGTTCTATGCTTACTTGATTAAAGTACTTTCTTGACTTGATATGTGATAATTGGAAAATGGTTTCTGATCCATCGAAGTGAGCAGTGTGTACTTTATCACACTAGCCGTTCGAGTGGTGACTTGCTTGAAGTATTTTTCGTGAATATCTTGCTTGCGCTTACTAAGCACTAAGTAGGGGAATGTACCACACCTTAGGGTGGGAGGGCCTCTTATCCTATCTCACGTGCTAAGTACTGAGTAGGGGAATGTACCACACCTGCGGGTGGGAGGGCCTCTTATCCTATCTCAAGTACTAAATCACCAGGCAGGGGAATGTACCACACCTTAGGGTGGGAGGGCCTCTTATCCTGACCTGGTAATTAAATGTAGTTGCGTCGTTGGGTGAATCCCTCGACTTCTGAATCCAACTACGGAAATGTCGCTGGGTGAATCCCTCGACCAATTTCCTGAGGGTATACTCAAGTATACTGCTCCCAAATTCTCTACGGGTATATCTCGAGTATACTGCGTCATTAGTCGGTGTTCGGGCCCGGGACAGGGGTAAGTACGGTGACGGGTTAGGATTAAAATGAGTGGATCTACATGGACTATAAGTAGTGAGAGTTGACGGAGGGTCAACTACGATGAATGGTGATCAAGCGAGGAAAATGGCTCCTGAGAGCCCCTGTATCCTACCTTGTGCTGTTATACGCTTTCCTAACTGTTCAATTTGGTTAAGCTATTACTCGCTGTTTGATTTACGTGACTGCATGTTTTGGGGCACCACTGAGCTTTAGCTCACCCCACGTTTATTTGTTTTCCTTGACAGGTTCTAGCAATTGAAAGCCTTGACACTTACTTATGTTTCTTTCTGGGGTGTAAATAGACACTGTGACTTCCTGTGTGGATTGAATTGTATTTCCACTTGAATAATGTATTTCTTATTTTGGATTGCCGCTTGAAACTGGAAAAGTGTAAACCCTAATTCGAATGTTTGGCTTGTATGTTTGTAATTGTGATGTATGAAATCTTATGTTTTTGGGATAGTAAGACTTTACTTCTTGTAAGTAGCGTGTGAGGTTTAAGAGCTGTTGAATGGCTATCTTAGAATGCTATTATCTCTGAAGTTAATGTGGTTGTAATTATTAGTCTATTCTGGAAGTATTGACGTTGTAATAGCTTAGGTTATTCTTCGGAAGAATTTGGGTTAGATTGTTTGCGTGAGTCCTGGCGAGAGCTTGGCAGACGGCCCGCCAACCCTCTGCTTCGCCTTAGGGGGAAGTGGGGTCGCCACAGTTATCTCACCATTCAGGTCAACAGGTTCCTTTCCCTCACCCACACTCAACAAGAATTCTGAAAACTGAGGATCTAATATAGCTCGCATATTTCCCGACAGCTTTAACTTATGAAGTTCAGGCCAAAACGGAGAATTAAGAAAGCGTGACTGCAAAAGGACTTCTTTTGTTGACTGCTCAATTACAGGCAGTGTTTGTCGGAAATCCCCACTAAAGACGACAACTTTGCCTCCAAAAGGCAGGCTAGATTCCATAATATCTTTCAATAAATCATCAAATGCTTCAACAGTTTCTCGTCTGGCCATTGAAGCCTCATCCCACAGGATCAATTTGGATTCAGAGAGCAACTTCGCAACGCTACCCTGCTTGCTAAGTTGGCAAGTTTTGCTCTTTGAAAAATCAAGGGGTATTTTAAATCTTGAATATGCAATTCTTCCTCCAGGTAGGATAGCCGCTGCAATTTCAGATGTCGCCACTGCAATGGTGATATGACCCTGTGATCTCAAAGTAACGAGGAGCAACCGGTATAAAAATGTTTTACCGGTACCTCCCAGGCCATCAATAAAGAAAGAATGGCCATGAGAAGAGAAACATGCTTTTAAGATTAAATCATAAGCACATTTTTGCTCAGAATTTAATTTGGAAGACAGCAATATATCCTCCGGCAGTACGCTGATGTTTCTCTCATACTCAACCTCCTTTGTCAGGCACGTGCTATATGCATTCATAAGATCACGTGGCACCAACTGGTAGTCAGTAATATTTTTACCCATCTGCCCAAACAATCTGTTAATATCAGTGAGAACAAGTCCCCTAATTTCATCGGGAGAGCATGGATGATATTGCTGTTGTCTTTCATAATCTCTAGAGAAATCTGATTCAAACTTTTCCCATAACATTTTGGGATTAGTTGGAGAACAATATACCAGAAGAGTGGCAAATAAAAGCCTGAGTGAAGACGGCATCTGAAATGCAATAGCTTCTTCAAGTGTCTCTTCTATAAACGAATCAGATTGTAACAGACCAAGTGCAAAAGCAGCATCTCTAAACGAGCACATTTTTTTGTTGTTCACAGTTAAGAGATCATCGAACGATGTTGGTCCAGGAACATGAGTTAAGAGAAGGCGTAGATAATACCGCTCTCCCTCAGTTGGACTAACACTGACAAGTCTACCTATCACTTTTCGACGTTTCCTTTCCGTCCAGTGTTTATACTTAGCAGTCCAAACGAAATGCTGTGGGAAATCTCTATAAAAACATTTAAGATTTTCAGCCGATGCATTCGTTGCATTCTTTTTGAAAAAGTCAGTTAACATAGTTTTTGAAAAATCAGTCTTAGCTAATAACAGCAAGAGATCTGAGTTTTTATCAAAGGAAACAAACTGCTGATTTGGAAGGTGAACCTGGAGTGTATAAACAGACGGAATCATCTCATTTAGATGAAATTCATAGATGCGCCAAAAAGTTTCGGGAGGCGAAATATATCTACCCTTTTGAAACTCATTAATTTCATCAATATCAGGAGGACCGCCATCAGTTACAACCTTAAAGGAGACCAGATCATGACCTTTAAACACATACTTGTACAAGTATTTCACCAGCTTTATAGTAGAACAGATCTCGACATTTATGTGGCAATCAAACAAAGCAAGAAGATACGGGTTGTAAGGCACAACCCACCTATTATCGAGAGTAAACCTTCGGACCTTTATTTTTCTACCATCATCCCTTTTTCTATAATGTGAGTAACCATCCTCAACATGAGTTGTATATGGACAAAAATCTTTGGGATAATGACTTTTGCAGGTACCGTCTCTCATACAAGGACAAGTTTTATCCATAGATTCGCAAGGGCCGTGGATCATATGCTTGACAACAAGATTGTATAAGTGAGGGTAGCGAGCACGATCAGGTAACTCCGCACACACCACCTTATCATATTCCGGATTAAGCAGCTTGGACTAAGGTTTTAAGATCAGGAGTAAATGAGCATGGGGAAATCCACGTTTTTGAAACTCAATAACATAGACACATGCTGCGACCTCACCAAAAATTTGCTTATTCAAAATTTCTGATTTAAGCATCTCAAATTTAGCTCTAAAAATCCTGGCTAGAAGATTTGGTCTATCCTGCGGCTTCTCATGATACTTTAGATTGTCCTGAATTTCTTTACATGCTGGATTGCAGGTCATGGTAAGATAAATATCAGGTTTACCATATTTCTGAACGAGCGCCATTGCATCAAGATATCGGCGTCTCATGTCTCTCGGACCACCTATAAAAGAGGATGGGAGAACAATCTTACAACCAACTTTAGACCCTTCGGACTGCCCAATAGAAACACTGTCCAAGACTCCTTGGAGGATCTCCAATCTTATTACATTTTGTCGATGCCTATGGAAGTCCAACCTTGAAGTCTCTATCTTCACATAAGAATCAACAGAAAATTGCTGTAGAAGCCTAAGGCAGTGCAATAACATCGATTCATCATCATCTCTTATTTGAAATCTGTAGCAATAATACTCTCTAGCCGATACCGTATCTCCCTCGCTGTTCCCTCGATCAATAGCTATATAAGACACAAATATTCTATCGATGAAGAAGATGTTATAAGTTTAATATTTAATAGTGTAGAAGTAGTAAGTGATTTACTTGCCTCTGCGCTATAAGTCCATTAAGTGCGAAGGTTCATTAACAGAAGAAGGATCAACGCTAGAATCATCCTCACAGGAGTCCCCATTTCTTTTCCTCTTATATAGTCTTTTAATACCATGGTGCCATCCACATTCACCCCGAGGAAAAAGAATAGGATACTGTAGAGGGTCATAACCGCCATAGTAATGATTAATCCTATGGCTGGTATGTGAGTGAGTATAAACCTGAATATGAGCACTATAGCTGGAATAACTAAGGCATTGCTGGAATAACTAATGAGATCTCTCCGCCAGAGCAACAAAAGCTAGGAGGTTCCAAATAGAACCTCTTAGCTCCACAATGTTCACAATTAGGAACATCTGGAAGGGTGGTGGCTTCATGAGGGATCTCATCAAACTGCAAAAGACCCCATTGACGATCTCTGCGAGGCCTCGCTGCATTTAATTCCAAACTATAGCTGAGAAGGGCACTAAGTCGCACCTTTATTAATCCAGTTAATAACATAATCTGGTGAGCTATAGAAAGTGAAAGAGAATTAAAAAGTCAACCCGGAGCCTGCTTCCTGACACGTCTATGACAACCATGATTTTGACCAGAAGGCTGATCTTTAGATAGGAGAACAGAAGAACTACGACGGTGACCCTTTTTCCTTTGAACACGGTTTTTTTTGGCAGACTTGTTAGACTCTCTATCTTGAACAGAAGAGATTTCTGTAACTATATAAAGAAATGAGCTGAATAAAAAAGTTCAGAGTCATTTGACTGGGTACAGTCAACAGAGCGGGCAAATTATGAAAGTTCCAGCCAAATAGAACTGAAAAATACATTTTTTTTTGTAGAGGATCTAAGTGGACAGGGCAGCCAAAGAAGTATCGACAATCACATGGAAAAAGGCAAAGGAATATATCCCTTGAGAAGTAGAAGCTGGTGCAGAAGATTGTTTCTCAGAGATAGATGTTTCTTTTTGCAGATATAATTCTCTATGGATATCATTCAAGACAAGTTGATTTTTTCCAAAGTCCATGTAAGGATCAGGCAAAGGAGAGAACTTAACAATATTTTCAAAAAGTTCATTATCAAGTAAGACATGTTTGTCAGTATAAAAGAGGTGCATGGTTCCGTCAAACAGAAGAGGAAAGCTGCTTGTTTGGTGAGGTAACATAAGAGGTTCAGAGCAAGCAGTGTTTGTTCCAGAACTTTGGTGCTCATGAAGAGGAGAAGACAGTTTTTTAGAATACATCGAAAATCAGTAAAAGGACAATATTGAATCACATTTTCAAAAAGATTGTTCATAGGCAAGATCTCTTTGTCACAGTAAGGAGTTTCCAGAGAATTTGTTAGTTCATCAATTACTGATACAGAGGCAGAGCTTCTATTCTTTTTGTTAAATAGACGAAGATCAGGCATAGCCGTAAAAGAACGGGAGCCTAAGCTTTTCCTTTTTCCATGGAGGGATGTAGGTTGACAGTTCCTAAGATTAGGCGTACCAACGAGTGGATGTTCTGCAGGTCGCAAAATAAGGTTTATTTACTTGCACAGAACAACAATACGGAAGGATCAATCCATGGAGAAGAGAGCAAAGATGCTTTCAAAAGTAAGAACTGGACATGAAGAAAAAGGTCAGGAATGGGTAACACGGAAAGTACCTCCTAGTACACCTGTTGCTAGTGCAGAATGCATTTCCCTAGAAGGGGAAGCAGAATGACTATGAAGACTAAAGGAAGCAAATTCATGAGATGACATTATTGTAACGCTTCAGCAATGACACCGGCGCTATCATGGCCGTCCTTAAAACCCCCACTTTCTAGCATTTGGCCATGCATAAGAGGTTGCTTTCCACTATCGCATGGGACAGCGAGTGTTTCGGGGAAAGAAACACCTGTTTCCACATAACCAAGTGGAACCTTGCCAATACGCAAGGGAAAACTCTTTTCTTTTTCTTGGCGGCCCTAGCTTCTCTTCGATGACGCAGAAGGTCATTTTTTTCTATGTCCGGCATTTCTGCGTACCTTTTGCGGTGAGTAGAACTTCTACCCATTCACTTTAATTGGCTAAAGTGTACAACGTCAAAGGACTATATATAGAAAGGCAAAATTTAACCGATTAACAAAAAAAAAAGGAACAAGTTTGTAAAATACTAAGCTAAAATTAATAAGCAAGCAATGAGCAGGAAGATAAGAAATTTAATAGCTAACAAATAATCAGAAAAAGCGAAATAGATGCATAAAATAAGTAACAAAAGGTAGTTCAGTATGCAATGCAAGGGTGCCTGTAATTTTTATCCATCAGGTGTAATAGTATAGGAACAGGAGCTGAATAACTCCTTGTTAAATAGTCATTCAAAAGTCTGGGGAAGAAGTAATTAAGTTCCGGCAATTCAAAAGTTAAAGAAGCGAGACGCAAACAAGATGCAGCCTACGACATAGCAGAAAATACAAGTAATGGAGACGGAATCTAAATTGCAAAATATAAAAGAAAGATGGAACAGAGGAGAACCAGAAGCACTAACCTGTTTGGCTGCAGAAAATCGACAGGGCAGAATCAAAGAAGAGCAGGCGGTACCACACTAAAATTGAGCATACAAAAGCTAATAGGGAAAAGAAAGAGAACAAGGGAAAAATAAACCTGTGTTAATAGGTCGAAGAGCAATGAAAGAATTAAAGGGATTAAACTGGTGCGTGAGAAAAGAAAGAAACTGATAAAGAAGAAAAATAACAAGGTAATAAGCTAATTATTTCTGAGAAAAAACTCAACCAATGCAGAGAGAATAAGTAAAATGAGCTTGGAGCAAGACACTCACCAGCAACACAGCAACAATAACAGCTCTGCAAGTTGAAACAAATTCAGGGAATTAAACTGGTGCGCGAGAAAAGAAAGAAACGGATAAAGAAGAAAAATAACAAGGTAATAAGCTAATTATTTTAAAAAAAAAAACTCAACAAATGCAGTTGGAGCAAGACACTCACCAGCAACACAGCAGCAATAGTAGCTCTGCAAGCTGAAACAAATTCAGAAAATTAGCAACGGAAAAGTCTAAAAGAAGCAAGAGCAAGAGAAGAAACAAGTTGATAGCCAACCTTTTTTTTCTGTCAAGCGAAAAAGCAACAGAAAGGGATCAGAAGAAACAGTGCAGCAGCTGCACATCTACCACCGATCATGATGGTAAGCCGCCGAGCTTTTGCTAGGGCAAGTCAGGTAATGTTAACAACCACTGTACAAAGGGAAAGCCCCGGATGATCCTTGAAGAGAGCAAGGGTGAAAGGTGATGGTTGGCAAGACTCCACAGCGAGGCCACTCCATTTTTACAAACATGACCATGATTAAGAAATAAAAAAAGAGGAACCGCAACGAGAGAGAGAGCAAATTGAAAGATAATGGGTGCGTAATATTGTAAAATAGACGTCCCAACTTTCCCATCAAATACAACTCTCACCAAATGAAAGTAATCGGAAGTGATGGCTGAAGCAGAAAATAGATTCTAAAATCGATGCAAGTAACGGGAAAGTGCAACTTTCCAGGCAAATATACGAATGAAGATTTTTCTTAGAAAAATATTAATAGAGAGGCATTTTTTTATTTTAATAGGTAAAAACGCAGGACAACTAATTAAGTAACTATTAAACATAATTTTGTTGGACAATAGAATAAATGGAATGAGCAATTATTAACTGCTGACAATTAACAGCGAGAAATTAGTAGGTAAATATGAGTGCTAGCACAAAAAAAAAGAAAAAGAACCTTTTTTGTTAACCCAACATACTAGCACTAATCAGGCAATAACTAATTGTTAACAATCAATTGTAAAAATTGATAATCATTATTTGTTTTCGGAGAAAGCCCTTTTTTTTTTTGCTAACAACTGCAAGAAATCATTAATTATACACGATCCATTTGATGACAAAAAAGAAAGGCATTATTAAGTAGCTACTAACAATTAATTGCAAAGTATTGGTAAATAGATGCAGTTTGGTGAAAGAGAAAAAGGGCAATTTTTTTGTTAACATGATCCATTGGAGCAAGAAAAAAAAAAAAAAGAGGCGGACAAATAACCAAGAAAAAAAAATGAAATTATTAATTAACCAACGAAGCATTAATGGCAAAACAGGGCATTTTTTCAATAACATCTATAAAAAAATTATAATTATATTTTTTTTTGGGACAAGAAAAAGACTTTTTTTTTGGCTAACAACCGCAAGGAATCGCTAATTAAACACGATCTATTGGATGACCCAAAAAAAGAATAATTAAGTAGCTATTAACAATTAATCGCAGAGTGCCGGTAAATGCATGCAATTGGGTGGAGGAGGAAGAAAGGTCATTTTTTTGTCACTATGATCCGCCGGAGCAAAAAAAAAGAGGCAACTAACCAACGAATCGCTAACTGAAAAAAAAAAAAGTGAAAGCATTAATTAACTAATGAAGCATTAATGACAAAAAAGGGTTTTTTTCGAAAACATCTATAAAGAAAATGATAATTAATAATTTTTTTTGGGAATAAAAAGAAAGCCTTTTTGTTGCCTAACAACCGCAAGAAATCGCTAATTAAATACGATCCATTCAATCACAAAAAAAAGGCATTATTAAGTAAACATCAACAATAAATTACAAAGTATTAGTAAATAGATGGAATTTGGCGGAAGAAGATTAAAAAAGGCCATTTTTTTCGTTAATATAATCCGTTGGACCCAAAAAAAAAGACCCAAATAAGCAACGAACCAAGGCATTTTTTCGATAAGAAACTAAAAAAAAAGTGATAATTAAACCTAACATTGCATTAACATCTAACCAATCAAAAAGAAAAGAATTAAAGCGAGCATAGCAAAAAAAAAAAAAAAATCTGTGGGGGAAGAAAAAAAGAAGGCCAAATTTCATCACAATTGACCAATCAAAACTGGCCACATCACCATTTTCATAAACAATTGGGAGGACTACCATCAATCGACGAATCAGAGGACGACAACTCATCAAATTAGAGGACTACCACCAATCAGCCAATGAGAGAGCGCCACATCAGCAATTGAACTCAATTGAAGAGAATGACATTCACACATGAACTATATATGTTAATAAACATGGCATTTTTACAATTTGCAATTAGTAAAAAACTGCACTTCGAAGATGCTGACTAGCTGAACCACGAAACAGCAGTCCACTTAAAAACTTATAATAAGCGGCTACAGTATGAGTTGTTCACATTTCTTGACAATTTTTATAACCCAGTAATTGAAAATGGAACAAAAAATTGATCACCTAATCCCAGCACTGATGAGGAAGCAGACAATATACAATAAATCAAACTAGATTAAGGGCTACAGCTGGATCTCTGATCTAACAATTTACAGCTGACTGATACGAGCCAAAAAACTGTAATATTGAAAATGTATTTAACAAGGCTTGTATTTTCACAATTAGGAAGGTACAACACAATTAGAGGAGGTGCTTAGCTATTTACAACTTTATTTCCTCAAAAAGCAGAGATGGGGGAAAAACCCCCCATCTTTTAATTATGCAAACACTTGACAAGGACGCCTGGAACGCAAGAATCAGTAACAATTAAGCTGCTACTGATTATCAAAATTGAGCAAGAAAACTGATTTTTTTTTTTTTTTTTTGCCTCACACGTTATATCAGAAAATAGCCAACCACAACAAACTACTCATCCATCTCATCATCATCATCCATTTCTTCAATCTTCATTTTCTTTACAGCTTGAGCAGCACCAGTTCTATTAGGCCCATTGGGAATTTCAATCAGTATATCTGACTTTTGCCCAGTGGTGGCATTCACCAGGCCTCCATTGTTTTCCACATGATACACTAGCTCTTTCCCATTGTAGGCAACATCGATGTATACAGTTGAATTCTCATCTATCTCTCCCTTGATAAGCATCTTAGACAGCTCTGTCACCAGCTTCTTCTCCAACCATCTTCTAATAGGTCTTGCACCGTAAACCTAAAAAATTTGTTACGTAGCAACAGTTAACACTCTGATCAATCAATCCCAGCAAAGAATGGCAAACTATGAATAACAGGAGAAATACTTACAGGATCGTAACTCTCAGCCAATATGACATCCAACGCTGCTTCTGTTACGCCCAAAGCAATGCCCCTCTCAGCCAAGCGGCTAGCAACGTCTTTCAACTGAAGCCTGCAAACTTTCCTCAATTGCTCATGCGAAAGAGGATCGAAGACCACGATCTCATCAAGTCTGTTTAATAGTTCTGGCTTGAAATGCTTCCTCACCTGATTTAAACATTTAACCGTCTCTCCAGTTAACAGAGAATTTTCTAATGGCAAACAAAAACGTTCAGCATTGCAATGCAGGATCATTTTCAACTTTACCTCTTCCAATACCATTTCACGCGCCTTTTCAATTGTGCACTTGCCCATCAATCCTCTTAAGAGATACTCTGCCCCAAGATTTGAAGTCATGATAATGACAGTGTTTGTGAAATCAACTGTTCGGCCTTGACCATCTGTTAGTCTTCCATCATCCAAAACCTGAAGCAGAGTGTTGAACACTGTGGGGTGTGCCTTTTCAACTTCATCAAACAGGATAACACTATAAGGCCGCCTCCTCACTGCTTCTGTGAGTTGTCCACCTTCCTCATGACCAACATACCTGAAGGATATTTGACCCGATCAGCCACCAATACCACATTATACTATAAAAGTATCTATCATAAATAAGGTTTCAAACTTACCCAGGTGGAGCTCCAATCAAGCGAGCAACTGAGTGTTGTTCCATGTACTCAGACATGTCAATCCTTATCATAAGTTTGTCATCATCGAAGAGTTGTTCAGCAAGAGCCTTGGCAAGTTCAGTCTTTCCAACACCAGTTGGACCCAAAAAGAGGAATGAGCCAGTTGGCTGTTGTGGTCTTCCTAATCCAGCCCTTGATCTCAGGACAGCTTCTGCAACAGCGCTAACTGCCTGGTCTTGACCTACCACTCTTTGGTGCAACCTCTCCGCAAGTCCAATCAGCCTTTCTTTCTCATTTTGGCCAAGACGTGTGATGGGTATGCCAGTCCAGCGACTCACAACCTCTGCAATTTGATCTGGTCCAACAGTCTCCGTCAGCATTCCACCTTCATCCGTGTCGGCTTCAAGCCTTGCTATAGCAGCCTCGACTTCCTGTATTGCGCCATACCTCAAGTCAGCTGCCCGAGCAAGGTCATATCTTCTTTCAGCTTCCTGTAATGCGTACAAGAGCTCGTCCCGCTTTTGCTTAAGTCGTCGGAGCTCATCAATCCTTTCCTTTTCTTTATTGTATTTCATCATCAGTGGCTGAAGCTTGTCTCTCAAGTCATCAAGTTCCCTTTTCACCTGCACACGAATTTCACAATATCAGATCCACCATCAACAAATCCAATCAACTTAATCAAAACTTCAAAAGAAATTGATACAACAATGTAACCGATACTCACTTCAACAAGCCGCGCTTTGCTGGCTTTATCCTTTTCCTTTTCAAGAGCATGGAGTTCAACCTCCAACTGAATTCTCTTCCGCTCCAAACTATCAATTTCTTCTGGTTGACTATCCAGTTGAACTCGTACATTGGCACAAGCCTCATCAACCAAGTCAATTGCCTTGTCAGGTAAATGTCGGCCTGCACACAAAATTCAATAGCAATTGAATACTCCTATAGGCGCCTCAAAAAAAATCCAACAAGCACTGTTTGTCAAACAAATATTTTATATGATAGAAACGAATCTACGTCTTAAAATAGAAAACTAAGTGAAAAGTCAATTCAAGCTAAATAGGAAGGCCTCATACCTGTTATATATCTAGAAGAGAGTTGAGCTGCAACAACAAGAGCCCGATCTTGGATTCGAACACCATGATGCCCTTCATATTTCTCCTTCAAACCACGGAGAATGCTTATAGTATCAGCAACACTAGGCTCAGCTACATAAACTTGCTGAAAACGCCTCTCGAATGCAGCATCTTTTTCCACATACTTCCTATACTCTTCCAAAGTAGTGGCACCAATGCATCTTAATTGGCCCCTGGCAAGCATTGGCTTGAAGAGATTTGCAGCATCCATAGACCCTTCAGTCCTACCAGCACCCAAGACAAGGTGAATTTCATCGATGAAGAGTATAACTTTTCCTTCAGCCTCTTCAACTTCCTTCAGTACAGCCTTCAACCTCTCCTCGAACTCACCCCTATATTTTGCTCCGGCAATCAATGCTCCCATATCCAATGCTATAAGCCTCACATCAGCCAGATTACTCGGAACATCACCTCTAACAATCCTCTGGGCTAGACCTTCAACCACAGCAGTTTTACCCACCCCGGGCTCACCAATAAGCACTGGATTATTCTTAGTCCTCCTCGAAAGAATCCTAACCACCCTTCGAATTTCATCATCCCTTCCAATGACAGGATCGAGCTTTCCAGCCAATTCAACAAGATCTCGACCATAAGTCTTCAAAGCTTGGAATGTAGCGTCTCCAGAGGCACTTTCCACCTTCTTCCCTACCTTACCGCGAAGCTTCTCCACTTCTGATTTAACTCTAGCAACACTAACCCCGGCTTCTTTCAAAAGGTCTCCAATTTGAGAATCCTCCAGTAGGCCCAATATCAACTGATCAACGGCTAAATGTGTATCACCACGAGACTTTTGCAACGCCTGTGCACGTCTAATCACCTTAATCAGTGAAGTACTCGCTGGGACTTCATCAGGGGGAGGTGTTTGGGAAGGGAGCTTCTTCATCGCCTGATTAATAACCCTCTCAGACGAATTTGCAGCCTCCTCACCTCCCCCGGCATTGCTAATTGCTTGCCGGAAAATCCCGTTAGGATCAGATATCAAGGAAGCTGCAATATGAAGTGGGGTGAATTGAGCATGCCCAGCATTCATTGCCAGCTCATGAGCCCCAGCAAGGGCCTCATTAGTCTTGTGAGTGAACTTGTCAGGATTCATGATTCAATACTCAGCAAAAATACGTCCTATCAACATAAATACAAAAATAAATAAAATCCAGCATACAAAACCATGAATCAAAGAGGAAAGCAGAAATCTTTCCCCTTTTAATACCAACTGCAATGCCCAAAATCATGGCCAAAAACTAACTATTCAAAGCATATATCAATCTACTATCAGACCAGAAGAAATACTGGGATAGCCATTAACATGTTCAACAAGATATGCTACCACCAAACAGAGACTCAAAAAACTACATGCATGGGACATCAGAACCAAAACAGCAGAACAAGGATCTGCATACTATTTCGTAAACTCAGAAGAAATCACGAATCAGACTCGAACACTAACAATAGAACTAGCGAAAGCTTAATTGAAAATCGAAAGCTTACCTTAGCGACGATGAAAAGGGGGCTGAAAAAAAGTGATCTTCTAATGCTGCGGAATGTGAAGAATGATGGGTTCTTCTTGAAATCGGATGAAACTTGAGGGATTCCTGAGTTGAGTTTTAGTGTGGTTTATGAGGAATATACAGAGAACAGAAAACTGAAAATTCTTGAAAGAGATTTCTGAGTTGTTTGATTGTTGAGGGCAGAATGGAGGGGGAACGGGCAGCTTTTGTTAAGAGGATAGAGACAGCTGGAAATTTGGAGTCGGAACTAGAAACTACTAGTCTTCTATTTGCAATCTTTGCTAATTTTGCTGGCTTTTGGTGGTTGGTGCCTTGGTGGGCGGGAATGGAAGCAAGGAGAAGCTACTGGATTGGTCTAGTGAAAAAAGTTCGTTCTCCGCTCTCTATTTTAGTGATTGACTTCACGGTCCAAAGGTTTTTTGTCTTTTTCCCTCCTTTTTCTTGGTATGGTTAAGAGAGAAAAAGAATGGATAATTTCAGAACTCTCCAGAGATTTCTAACAGTTGCATAAAGCTCCCCTAAAGTTATAAAATTACACAAACCTCCATTTTTTAAGGGTTATTATCACTTTATCCCCCTAAACTATATCACTACTATCAATTTACCCCCTAACGTTTTAGTTACTTTACCCCATATATAATTCAACTCAACATATTAACAAATTTTGGACAAAAATACCCTTTTATTTTATAGCATTACTACATTGTTATTATCACTTTATTCGTTTAGATTATAGTGATACAATCACTTTAGTTCCTAACATTATTTCCTAGGCCTTTTACCTCGTCGTTAATCTAACTAGTATGGTCAAAAAATTTTAAATATATTTACCTTTTTTATATATAATTAAAATTAAAAAAGTTAAAATGGTTATTCTTCCTTTTTTTCACTTTAAGAGATCGAAAAACATAAAAATAAAAGAATTTTCTCAAATTTCTTTTTTCACACTTATTAATACTAGGAAAAGAAAAAGAGATAGGAAAGAAGGAGACAGAAAATTAGATTTTGCAAAGAAAAAAATAAAGAAAAGTCTGACATTATTGTTTACTTTAAGGTTATCGGGATTAGAATTGAAATTTGATAGTAAACAAAAAAGTGAAATAATTTTAAAATAATAAAGGTATTTAATTTTTTTATTTGTAATTTTTAAAAAAAGAATTGAGCTCTCTCTCTCCCTCTCCCTCTCCCCCTCCCCCTCTCCATCTTTCTATTTTTTTTTATATTAATAAGATTGTCAAAAAGAAAGAAATTAATATTTTGACCTTTTTTCTTGATACTAAAAAGGAGAAGAGTCATTCTAAATTTTTTATTATTTTTATTATACAAAGAGGAGGGTATTTTCTTCTAAAGTTTTTTAACTTGCTAAATTGGTTTAATGGTAGAATAAATTGCCTAAAAAATAATTATATCGGGTAAATTGATAATGAGACTATAGTTTATGGAGGTAAAGTGATAGTAATTTTAAGGGTTAAACATGTCTTTTCACTTTAATTAACAAACTCCGTTAAGTTTGACCGTTAGTCTTGGGGGTAAAGTGACTAAAAGATAACGTTAATGGGGAAATTGATAATGGCACCAAACGTTAAGGGAGTAAAGTGATAATAACCTTTTTTTTAATTTTTTAGGTAACAAAATAGGCCTAAAATACTGATACCTGCCAAAATTACCTTTGAATACCCTATAGTACCCTTCTCTTAATTAAAAAAAAAAAAAACTGTTACTCTAGAAGTTCTTCCCAAGTGGCCAAATGTAGGTTTAGTGCCAAGTAACTTTGCTTATATTATTAATGGTCTCAATATCAAATTGATATGGGTGAAGTTCTTCATATTTGTATCATCATTTTTCCCTTATTTTTTCTCATGATTGTCATGCAACTGTTGCTCTTTATTTTTTTTTAATGAAAAAGTGAAGAGGAAGAGTTCATATATGAATTAGATAGTAGAAGAAACTATTTTGTTAACCCACAAGAAAAAGGTAGAAAATTTGGGATTCATTCAAGAAGAAAAAGAGATCATGAAGTTGCAGTTGGTGAATGATGATAATTAAAAGTTGTATAAATTAGGATGAAAATGAAAGACTGATGGTTGGAATGAAGTTTTTTAGGATGGAAGTTAAGATTTTAAATGAATGGGGAAAAAGGATAGATGGTTGCAGTTGATGCACTATTCTCATTTGATTTTTTTCCTATAAATGGGTCTAACAAGTATGAAAGAGTTATTTACGTATGTTTACATCAGAAGGGAGCTGAGTGTAATATTTAAAATTTTAAGAGAGGCTCTTGCAATTATTAAAAACTTTAGGGGAGGTTTCTAAAATTATCCCAAAAAGAAAAGAAATTTAAGGATTGATGAATAACACGTGATCTTGGTTAAGAAATTTTGTTAATGAACTATGAGAAGTGTCTCCAATGAATTGAACACTTAAGTTGTCCATTTATACTTTTATTTAAAAAAATTATTTTTTCTTCAATCTTATTAGAAAAACTTGGGATAATTTTAGAAGCCTTCCCAGACATGAAAATAATTAGACATGAAAATATTTTCAGGTATCAACTCGATTTTCTCCTCAAAAATTAGACATGAAAATATTCCGTTCTCAAAATCGCTAGCATTCATAGTTATTAAATTCAGCCCAACTCGACAGTTCAACCGGTCAACTCAGTGAACCGGCAATTGAACTGGACCGAGTTATCAATAAGATCGTTTTTACATTGAACCCGTTGACTTTTCAACAGATCGACGGTTCAACCGGTGAATCCGTTGATCCGGCCGGTTTTATGAGGAACCCGATCCACATGGAAAAATTATATGTGAATGCTAGAATGGAGATTCGAACACCAAATGTTAGGTATGTTGATAGAATACAATCACCACTGGACCAACTACCCATATGTTGTTATCTTGTCCTTCTTCTACTATATATTAGACTTTTATTCTTATTTTATTTCTTCAAAACAAAATTTATTTGGAATCTTTTAATAACATTTTATTATTCCCCAAACTCTATAAATTATGAAATTGACTTAAAAAATAGGGTTAATCACATTTTATCCCCTAAAAGAAACCCCATTTTTCAGTTTATCTCCTAACCTTTAATTTTACTCACTTAACCCCCTTTAGGACAAAATTGCCCTTGCATTATTTTGACTTTTCATTTACCTTGTTTTCCTTTCTTTTATTTCTTTTTCTCTTTCTTCTTTATTTAATTCTTCCTCTTTCCCACAAAAATCTTCACCTTAATGATTGAAATTAAAAAAGAGGAATTGCAGAGATCTATCTTCTCCTTAAATGATTAAAAAAGTATTCAAATCACTTTCTTAAAATACAATTTTTTTAGCCTTTCAATTATTTTAATTTTGGGTTTTCCTCTTTCCTTTCTAGTTTCTTATTTTATTCTCAAGAAAATATCATAAGATGAAATTGTTTTCCTTTCTTTTATTTCTTTTTCTCTTTCTTCTCTCTTTCATCCTTCCCAATAGAAATTCCATTTCAACAAAAATTTTTGTTTTGAGTTTGTAATTGCATATTTCTGGGTAAAGGTTTAAAAGGTATCAAAAACTAATTTTGATTTTTTGTATGATGCCACGTGTCACAAATTTCAATTGATGATTATTAATTAGGTCACAATTTTATCTTAAGATATTTTCTTGGGAATAAAATGAGAAACTAGAAAGGAAAGAGGAAAACCCACAATTAAAAGAATTGAAAAGCTAAAAAAATTGTATTTTAGGAAAGTGATTTGAATATTTTTTTTAATCATTTAAGGAGAAGATAGATCTCGGCAATTCCTCTTTTTTAATTTCCATCATTAAGGTGAAGATTTTTGTGGGAAAAAGGAAGAATTAAATAAAGAAGAAAGAGAAAAAGAAATAAAAGAAAGGAAAACAAGGTAAATGAAAAGTCAAAATAATGCAAGGGCAATTTTGTCCTAAAGGGGGTTAAGTGAGCAAAATTAAAGATTAGAGGGTAAACTGAGAAATGGGGTATTCCTTAAGGGGATAAAATGTGAGTAACCCTAAAAAATAACATATTTCACAATTCCTTTTAAAAGCAAATGTTATTCTTAATAAACTTTTGCACTTAAAATTCATAAATAAACTAGATAATTACACTTAGATAAAATTTTATACTTGAATTTGGTAGATTACTAATTAAATTTAGGTTCTTAATTCTTATAAGAATTAATGATTCTATAATAAATTAGACTAACTGAATATTTATTATCGCATAAAAAATTATGAGACATAATATTTAAATATATTTAGTGACCCACCGGTTGGACCACTCACCCACTAGTTGAACCAGTAACCCATTGACCCACCTCTTTCACCGGGTTCCTCTCCGAGCCGGATTTAATAACTTTGCTAGCATTATTAGCCACTGGCTTCCTTATACTGTATAAAAGGGAGTTGGAATTGGAGTGCTGACCTTTTTCCTTGTGACTCTTCAGAGGTAAAATAGCCTTTCAGGTTGCGTTTGGTGATAAATTAGCTGTAGATTAAGTGCTACTACAATTGCTACTGAATTTCCCTTTGTGCCCTTTCCGACTTCTTAGGTTTAGAATTTGAGGTAAAATAATAGAAGCGTATAACAGCATTTGTTTTTGACAAGAAGTTCATCAATAACACTTAAATTAACCCCACAAGATACAACCAAAAGCAGAGTCGCGGGGATTAGTACTCTTAGTCAGGCACGGATTTAAGGGGGGGCTGGTGGGGGCTTAAGCCCCCCCCAAGCCGCCGGAAAATCCCCTATATATAGCCATATAGGGGATTCCGGCGGCCAGCCCAGCCCAGCCCAGTCCCCCCACGGTGATCCAGATCTACCATCCTCCATGGCTCCATGCCTCCATGAATGCTGCAGAGGAAGTGAAGAAGAGCTGGGCCTGGAAAGCCGCTGCCAGCCTGCCGTGCTGACTGCTGAGTCTGCTGACTGCTGAGGTCCGAGGAAGAAGATGACCCAATTTATGTTGAATTTTTTTTTTGCCCTCTAAATACAAAACGACGTCGTTTCACTTTTAGTGGAACGACGTCGTTTTGTATAATGAGGGAAAAAAAATACATCAGATGAAGCCCTAAGGCTTCATCTGATGCAAAAGCACGCCGCCAATGCCAAAGGCCAAAGGCCAAACACCGAAGCCACTCACGAAGACTCCAAGTCTCCAACTCCAAGAAGAAGACGCCACTCACGCCAGGCTCCAAGAACTCCAAGAAGCTTCAGTTGAGATTCTACCATCCTGCTTCAAGCCTTCAATTCAAGGCTCCAAGACTCCAACTCTCCACCATTCCATTCACATAAATCTTTTAGGTTAGTTTTTTGGTTTAAATTACAATATTCATCTTTATATTTTTGTTAATTATATGTTTAAATTATTTTTGAATTTTGAGTATCTTGATATTAATTTGATTAAGATTAATTTTTATTTAGTTTATGTTAATGTAATTTAAGAATTGAAAGATTACATTAAAAAATTTAATGATATTAAATTTAAATTGGAAATTAGTTTAGAAATTGTATAGATTTTAGGTTGTATTTAGTTTTTAAAATTTTGTTAGTTTTATATTTGAAATTTTAAGAATTAATTATGTGAATTAGAAATTTTGAATGTAAATATAAATTCAAAATTTTATGAGATTGAATTAGAAATTATATGGGTATTTAGTTGTACCTTATTTTAACTTTTTGATAATTTTATATAATGAATTTTATAAATTGAGAAATATAAGTAATATGAATTTATTATTAAATTAAAGAATTATTTATATGAATTTTAAATTAATTGATTATTGAATTGCATAATTTTATTGAATTTAACCACAATTATTTAATTGTGACAGAAAATGGAGAGATTCTTTAAACCTAAACGAGTCCGTAGTGGTGAATCTTCAAATGAGCCTAATATTAGTGAACCAGTTCAAAATCAATCTTGTGTGGAATTGAATTTAAATGATATTGTTAGTGATCCGGGATTACGAAAATCAGTTGAGAAATTTGATATTTCTCTTCGAGACCATGTCCGAAGAGAGTATTTGACTAGGGGACCTTGCCAACCGATTGGCCATATGTATCCAAAAACATCATTTGGTAAACAACATAGAAGTTTCCAAGATAGTTGGTATCAAAAGTTTGTATGGTTAGAGTATAGCATATCGAAAGATGCGGCGTTTTGCTTTTGGTGCTTTCTTTTCAAAACACAAAATAAGGGAGGTCGATATGCAGAGGATGCCTTTACAAAAACGGGATTCAATAATTGGAAAAAGGCAATGGAAAGATTTAATGAACATATTGGAGCTGTGAATAGTTGCCATAATGATGCTAGAATACAGTTTGAAAGTTTTCAAGATCAAAGGCATAGTGTGTCAAATGTGCTACGATCTTGTGGGCGCGAAATAGATATTGCATATCGCACCCGTTTAACTGCTGCTCTGGATGTGACCCGCTTTCTTTTGAAGCAAGGATTGGCTTTTCGTGGAAATGATGAGTCAACTAGTTCTTCAAATAGAGGCAATTTTCTTGAATTGTTTGAGTGGTATAGCCAGCGAAATACTGAGATTTTTGAGGTTGTAAATCAAAATGCTCCTGCAAATAATCAACTAACTTCTCCAATGATTCAAAAAGAGCTGGCACATGCTTGTGCCTCAGAGATCACAAGTGTTATAATCAATGATATTGGAGACAATTATTTTTCCCTAATAGTTGATGAGTCTCGAGACAGTTCAGTGAAAGAGCAAATGGGAGTTATTTTGAGATATGTGAACAAAGAAGGGCGTGTGATTGAACGTTTCCTTGCAATTGTACATGTGTCTGACACCACATCTCTTTGTTTGAAAGATGCAATTGATTCTTTATTCGCGCAACACGGATTATCATTATCCAAATTGAGAGGTCAAGGATATGATGGAGCTTCAAATATGCGAGGTGAGTTCAATGGTTTGAAGGCCCTTATATTACAAGAAAATCCCTATGCGATGTATATTCACTGTTTTGCTCACCAACTCCAGTTAGTTATTGTTGCTGTTGCTAAGGGAAATATCATTGTCAGTGAATTCTTTGTCTATGTCTCTATGATTGTCAATTTAACTGGAGTATCATGTAAAAGGAGAGATCAATTAAGACAAATAGAACATGATAAGATTGTTACACTTTTAGACAGTGGAGATATTATTAGTGGAAAAGGCAAAAATCAAGAAACTAGTTTAGCAAGACCAGGGGATACTCGTTGGGGATCACACTATCTAACATTACTTCGTCTATCCTCTATGTGGGCTTCGGTGATTGGAATATTGGGAAATATACAAGATGATGCCTCCACTTCTGACAATAGAGGTATGGCCAGGGGTTTGATTGATAGAATGAATGATTATGAGTTTGTTTTTGCATTGCACCTGATGAAGTATTTATTGGGAATCACAAATGACTTGTCACTTGTTTTGCAACAAAGGGATCAAAATATTGTCCAAGCCATGAGTTTGATTGATACTATGAAATCTCAATTGCAAGACTTTAGGGAAGAGGGATGGCAAATAATTTTAGATGAAGTCAACAATTTTTGTGAGTTGAATATGATTCCTGTGATTGATATGGAAGACAGTATAGCAATCCGTGGCAATGCCAGGCGCAGTCGCAGAGGTCAAACCATCACTAATTTTCATCATTATCGCGTGGAAATTTTTTGTGAGGTATTATTTTTGAAATTATTATTTCATTACATTTGTTACTTGTTAACAGATTTTCTTAGTTATTAATTTTATTATTGTTGTGATGTCAGGTTGTTGATTTAATTATACAAGAGATGAATAATCGTTTCTCGGAAGTTAGCACGGAATTGCTTAGTTGCATAGCATGTCTTGATCCAAAAAGTTCTTTCTCTCAATTCAATGTGCAGAAACTACTCCGTCTTGCTGATTTATATCCTGAAGACTTCTCAAGTAACGATTATTTATATCTTGAGTCTCAACTTCGAAATTATATTTATAATGTGCAACGCGATCCTCAATTTTCAGAAGTTGGAGATTTGGGAAGTCTTGCTCAACAAATGGTTAAAACTGGTAAAAATACAGTTTTTCCATTTGTTTATCGTCTGATCCAGTTGGCATTAGTTCTACCAGTTGCGACTGCTTCTGTTGAAAGAGTATTTTCTGCAATGAATATTGTCAAGACTGATTTGCGCAACAAAATGGGAGACGAGTGGATGAATGACTGTCTGGTTGTATACATCGAGAAGGATATTTTTGCAACAATTGAAAATGAGCAAATATTGCAACGTTTTCAACGGATGAAGACTCGCAGAATGCAATTGCCTCCTCTTCGTTATTCGAGTGCAACAACTACCAATACTTCAAGTGTTAATCAATAACAAATTTTTGGGTATGTATAATTATATGTTTTTATTATTTTTATAATTATTGATTCTAAATTTTACTTATTAAATATATTTATTTCGTCACAAAAAAAAATTTTTAATACACTTCAGCCCCCCCAAAAATAAATTTCTGGCTCCGTCCCTGCTCTTAGTTGAATCTTGTATTGAATGGTAATAGCTCCGTCACCCCACGTCTAAGCCATTACTTCATGATATAGGAAACTCCTACTTTTTCCATTACCAAGCGCAAACTTTTTAGTTGCCTTGGGTTATAAATTTTGGCTGTTGAAAAGCAATCAATGGATGTTTTGGTTAGAGCTTTTAACGAGTCGAATTGTTTGCGATCATATTTGCATTCGAATACGTAAAAAGCTCAATCGCTTAATAAATGAATCAAGTTCAAACACAATGTTAGATTTGTTTAATAATCGAGACGAACACGAATATGTTCGTGAACTATTCGAATAATTCAAATAGTTCGTGAGTACATATATAATTATAAACATAAATATAATTATAGATATAAATACGTTTAATATTATTAAATATATATAATATATTTTACTAAAAAAGTAATTATACATAAATTAGCATCATTTATTTTTAAAAATCAATAAATATAGTTAAAATTATTGTAAATAATGTATTATTTACTAAAAATATAAGTAAATCATCTTCAGAATCAAATTTAAGCTCGAGCTCGAATTCAGTTTGTATAGTTTAACGAGTCAATCTCGAGTTTGAATTCAAATATTTATACAAATAAATGAATTGAAATCGAATAATATGTGTAATTCATTCATATTTGAACCGAGCTTGAATCCAATTCATGTAATATGTGAATAGAGTCTGAACACCAAGTATTCGACTCGTTAAAAGCTTTAGTTTTGGCATTGGTATGGCTTTCAATTGGAACTAAGGTGAGCAATTTCTTGTGCTTTTAGTTGAATATTATTGCAACTTGTAATTTAGAAAATAGCATTTGGTCCACTTTTTGGTTGGGTTAGTTTTCTAAATCAAAATTAAATACTAGGAAAGCTAATTAAGTTTCTTGATTTGGATTCGGATGATTTGACAAATAGGCTGAAAGTATCATTGAGATTGAGTTTTGCCACATATTTGCTGAATAAGGTATGTATTGGTACAATTTTTATCGCTAATTCCTCAAATTATTGTTGGGAAAAAAAAATCCGCACCATTGTGGCTCTGACAAGGGCCTTTTTTTATTATATACCTGCTATGCTGAATCAATATGGTAGGCAAAATATTTTTTTAATCATAAAACGCTTCAGCACGGCAGTAGTAGAAAAAAATTCTAACATCCTTCCATGCTTGGTTATCACGGTGGGATGTATTAATTTTTTTTTAATTTACAAGGCCGCATTGACTGAATTTGGGCGCATTAACATTCTTCCTCCTATTGTAAATATTTTTGGCAAAGTATACCACTTTACCATTTTAAATAATAATGTAACCAGTAATTGAACCCTTTTTTTCTTGACAATTTTACACGAAAAACTCGATCCACACAAATTTTTTAATCTACCTCCAAGAAAACTCAAGGTGATACTTAAAAATTTTTTAGCAGATTTAATTCTAACCGAGATATACTAGTGCTAAGTATTACTAACCAAGCGGAAAAAGTTTGTGGTCGTGGCCTTAGGCCTATCAATGGATCGAGTTCGGATTGGAATTGAAAATTCCGGACTCGAACCCATTTTAATGTACTAGATCCAGACCCGACTCATATACCCGACGGATCTTGTGCTTAAGATTTCGAAACCGGGTCTCACAGATCTCGAGTCGGATTTATGTCTACTTGGAAAGAAAAGGCTCAACATGTATCATACATTTTCTTTTATCCATGTTAGCAAAAAAGGCCCAACATGATCCCAGGATATTTAGCAAAAAACACTTATATGCAACTTGTGATGCATACATTTCTGGTCAAACAAGTTTGCCTCTTCCAAATCCTAATTTCTTAGATGCTTCATCTGAGATACAGATAATTTGGTTAATTTAGTAAAAGAATACTTTGGTTAATTTAGTAAAAGAATATATTTAGAAATATTTATATTTTATAATTATTAATGTATTATTCGGGTCCAGATCAGAAAAAAGTCGGAATCCTATATTTCGTATCCGATTTACTTTTTTGTTAGAATAACGGGTACGGTTCTGGATCTGGGTACCGGAATTATTTCTGAACCCATATTCAGAAAAAATTACTAGATCCGAGTCGGGTTCGAGTCCAAACCCAACCTGTTGACAGCCCTACGTGGCCTTGAACATGGGCTTTGTCTTTGATAAACCACTTCATAATTATAAAATGAAAACAAAAGAAAATTGAATTCTCAAAAAAAATTTCATATCTCCATTTTTTTTAAATTGAGTATAAAGTAGAAAATTTCTATTTTAATAGAGCACAACCCGTTTTGTGTTTCCCCCTCCCCATAAAAGGAACGGCAATAGAATAAAAGAGAAGGGGTATATGAATATCTATACTTCCTAATAAATACAAATCCCATTATATTTATATTAGAAACTTCACAAATGTAATATCATAATAATAGTACAATTTAAATCATTTTTTATTTTGATATTCTCTACAAATTTCTAGAACTTAATAAGTTTAAAGTTTAAGTTTTAAGTGGCAAATTTTTTTCTAGGAATGTATTATAAATTTCCTTCCATTTGTATCCCTTACAAATTTCAATAATAAAAGTGCAATTTAAATTTAAATAGAAACCTCCTTTTATTTCTGCGTTATTTCAAACAAAAGTCCAATTTAAATTTAATACGGATTGTGCTCTATTAAAATGAAATTTCTTTTTTCTATTCAATTCAAAATACAATGTAGATATGAAAAATTTCTGAGAACTCCATTTTATTTTGTTTCCATTTTATAATCATGAAGTGGTTTATTGAATATGAAGTCCATGTTTAGGGCCACGGCCGCAAACTATTTTCGCTTGGTTAGTAATACATAGTAGTAGCATTTCAGTCAGAATCAAATCTACTAAAAAATTTTCAAGTATTCCCTTGAGTTTTCTTGGAGGTGAGTGAAAAATTTATTATGTACCAAAAATTTCACGTAAAATTATCAAGAAAAAAAGGGTTCAATTACTAGTTATATTAATATTTATTGATCCCCAGAAAGAGGAGGACATTTGATGACATTGCTTCTAAGGATTTTGGCTTCGACATGCTTAAGTTGTTTTGCTTGTCAAGTAACCTATGTAAATGCAGGAAAAATGAATTGAAGAGGGAGGAAGTAGGCATTGGTAAAGTAGTATAATTTGCCAAAAGTATTTATAATTGGAGGAATTACGAGCATGCAATTGTGGCAGCGGTTTTATAATTAAAAAAGACATTTTTACCTGCCGTGCTGGCATATAACAAAAAAGGCTTCTGTCAGCCACAATTGTGTGAATATTTTTTAACAATATTTTAAGAAATTAACCAATTTTTATCCACAATTTCTCAGAATATGGAGCCATGGTATTATGATATTTGGAATTCCCTGAATTTTTTAAGTGAATTATTATATATTTGTCATGATAAGTGTTTAGTAGCTAAGGATTTCCCGGGTGATTTGGGTATGGTTCGGATTATGTAAATTTTTGCTTTCATGGATTATTTGCTACTGTTTGATGTAGCTTGCCTCGGCTCTGTTAAAATGTAGGAAATTGGACAACCACTTGCTCGAGTTGCCTAAAATACAACCTCTTATTCAAAAGGGATAATTTCAGAAACCTCCCTTGAGGTTTTCAACAATTTCACTAACCTCCTTTGAGGTTGGTAAAATTACACTAACTTCCCCTGAAGTTAAGATTTTAGTAATAAAATTAGTCCAAATCAGAAAAAAGTGCCATTAAAAAAGTAATTTGAGAAGAGAAATAAAACTTTCATTTCACAAATGCCCTTTATACATATGTACAAGTTGTATTATAAAGGAAAGAGAAACATATTAATACAAGTGAGGGAATGTAATTGCAAATAGCGAAGAACCAAAAAAAAAGTAACAATTGACTTTCTATACAAAGTTGGACCAATGGCTAGTGCACTGGATTACGACTATTTTTTTAGGTCGTTACCATTTTGCATATAAAGACAACAAGAAACATTAAGATGGATATCACTTTCACTTGAAACAGCAAAATTTGAGGTGGAAAAATAGTGATTTGTGTGAATTTTACAAGTTGAAAGTGAAATATAGATGTAGAAACTATGGCCCTATCAAACTACAAGAGAAAATCATAAAATTCAACTACATCCTTTGGCATCAAGAACAAATATTGTAAGTGTAATTGCAAGGCAACTATGAATATTTTTTAGAGTATAAAAAATCTAGACAAATTACTGGTTAGTGTATTAATTTCTGAGAGTGAACAAATATTTGGTACATCAATTGGCACTATTTTGTTTTTGTGATTGCAGATTACTGTTCATCATTAAAAAAAATTCCCAACAGCTATTTTTGTTAATTAGTTGCTAACAATTAATTAGTACCCTAATTACTTAATTGGCAGATGTTAATTTCTAATAAGACATAATATCTTAGGATATATGAGTAATTTTACCCCAAAAAGACACTATAGAGGAGGTTAGTGTTAGTAGAAGCAATTGAAATTGTTAGAAACCTCAAAGGAGGTTTCTAAAATTATCCCTATTCAAAATTGGAGCACTATTGTTCAAGTGATATTGAGAAGTAGAAGGCGCAGTTCTCAAAGTTGCGAAGCGCTTTCAAAAGCTGGTCTTTGTCAGTATACCTGATTTGTAATACTTTTGTTAGGCCAGGTCCAAGAAAATTAGTCAACTAAAATAATAGGGGTTTTTGGCAACCCAATAAAGACAATAATAAAGCAAATAAAATAAATAGAAAGATACAGAATTTTATATGGTTTAGCCAAATTGACCTTCATTCACGGCCGATGGGGTAACAGATTTATTATGACAGAAAGAGAGTATAAAAGAGAGAATACAAAACCTTAGGTGATAATTATTAGATCCAAAAGGCACCTAAAATAGAAAAC